GACAGTTCCGCAGACCGTAGCCCCCCAGGGATGGCGAGGTCAAATTTGGGTCCGCGTGAGGCGTCACTCCGCTGGATCCCCCAGCAGCCCTCGAAAGTGGCGACAGTTTCGCAGATCGCAGCCCGACCCCCCCCCCTCCCCCCTCCCTGCGGAGTCCCCCCTCGCAGGACCCGTTGCTGCAAGGAGTCGCACTATAGCAGAGGTCCGGAGCCAGACACCCCCCACTCCCCCCTCCCGCCCAATGCCGAAACGCCGAATCAAAAAACGCTGACTACAGTCAACGCGCATAGTAAGGACAAAATAATTTTTCAAGGGTACCCTTGGGTCCTTGCCTGCCTCAGCCTCTGCGGCCCGTCCCTCAGGTTCCCTGGGGGTTTGGCCGCCTGCCGCCCAGAATACTTCAACTTCGGCCTCCAAGGGTCTTGCGTCCTTACCACGCGTCCTTATTATATGTTTTCACTGTATGCACACCAGGATCCGCTCGCCCGGTGCGAGTGTCCGTGCGGGGCCCGAAGCAGCGTCGGCCTACAGAGGTCGGCTCCTCACTGCTCGCGTCCCAGCGTCGTCTCGCCGAGCGCGGGCGGCGCCGCCCGGCTCGAGCAAAATTTGTTTCCGTCGGCGGCGAGGCGGCGAAATCCGCTCCAGCGAGCAGCTGGGTAGGAGCACTGACTGGCGAAGTGGCCGGCGTGCCAGGAGGGAGGGGGGAGGCCGAGAGGGAGGAGGGACGCCCAGACGCCGGCGCCGCCCGGGGAAAAGAGTCTGGGCCTCCCGCCGCCCGCCGCCCCGCGCCTCGGCAGCCTCATCCTCCTCCTCCGCCTCCTCCTCCTCCTGCTCCTCCTCCTCCTCCTCCTCCTCCTTCTCCTCCTCCCCCCCTCCCCCTCCTCCCCCCCCTCCCTTCCGCCCAATGTCGACACGCCGAATACAAAAAACGCTGACGTCCCTGGAGCCAGGATCGGTCTGCGATGGCCCGTCGGAGGCGGCGAGGGGGGCGCAGAGTCCAGGGGCGGGCAGTGCACGCCTTCGCCCAGGCGTCCCGCCGAAGGCACGGACCCTCGGCGCCCCTGGATGTACATGCCTCCTCCTCCTCCTCCTCCTCCTCCTCCTCCTCCTCCTCCTCGTCTCCTCCTCCTCGTCTCCTCCTCCTCCTCCTCCTCCTCCTCCTCCTCCTCTTCCTCCTCCTCCTCCTCCTCCTCTTGCTCCTCCTCCTCCTCCTCCTCCTCCTCCTCCTCCCCGTTCTCCTCCTCCTCCTCCTCCTCTTCGTGCTGCGCTCCCCATGGGCATCGTCGCGCCCAAGCCCCCGAGTCCGAAAAGCGAGCGAAAGGCCCGGCTCGAAAAAAGTGAGGCGTCAGGATCTCTTCAGGCTCGCCCTCCTCGGAGAGGATTGGGGGGCGCGTTATGTTAAGTCGGGCATGTCCCTCTACAGGAGGACTATGATAAACTAGTGAAAACATTGTCTGGGGACTATGGTTTTCTATTGTTCATTTGTCCTGCAAAATCCGCCAGTAGGAGGACATGCCCGACCTGAGCGTAATGGGGGCGCGATCAACGGGGGGGCAGCGAGGGCTGCTTAAAATGAGCCCCTAAGAGGCCCCTGGAGGGAGCCCTCCAGGGCCCAGAAGTGGCCCGAAAAGAGCTCGCAGAGGGCACCTTTCTGTTTCCCCCCATGTATCGGCTGTCCTCCAAGGGCACCTTTCTCCCCCTCCATTCGAGCGACGCAGGACGGCGGGGTCGACGGCGCTGACATTGGCACGCAAGCTGCTCACGTAAGGTCGCGCGTAAGCGCCCTCGCTTCAGCGTAACGTGTCGCGCCAGCGGCCCCGCGTAAGCCTGCGCGTAAGGTCGCTACGCCATCTCGCGTGAGATACGTTTTTGATCCTCATCCCCCTCCTCCATCTTCCTCCCCCTCCTCCATCCTCCCCCCCTCCTCCTCCTCTCCTCCTCTTCCTCCTCCTCCCCCTCCTCCTCCTCTCCTCCTCCTCCTCCTCCTCCTCCTCCTTCCTCCTCCCCTCCCCCCTCCTCCTTCTGCCCACCTCCCCCTCCTCCTCCTCCTCATCCTCCTCCTCCTCCTCCTCCTCCCTCCCTCCTCCTCCTCCTCCTCCCCCTCCTCCTCCCTCCTCCTCCTCCTCCTCTCCTCCTCCTCCTCCTCCTCCTCCTCCTCCTCTCCTCCGTCCTCTCCTCCTCCTCCTCCCCTCCTCCTCCTCCCCTCCTCCTCCTCCTCCCTCCTCCTCGCTCCTCCTCCTCCTCCTCCTCCTCCTCCTCCTCCTCCTCCTCCTCCTCCTCCTTGCTCCTCCTCGCTCCTCGCCCCTCCGCGCCCAAGAGGAGCCCTTCCCCTGGGCGGGCCCCGCTGGCACGGACAGCGACGGCGGGGAGGACGACCGCGGCCGCGCGCGGCTCGTGGCCGCGGGCGGCCTGGCGCGGCTGGCGCGGCGCGGCGCTGCGCTTGTGGGCTGGGCGTGGAGGCCCAGCATCGCTGAGCCGATCCCTGCGCTTAGACAGCCCAGGGTTCCAGGGCTCGCTTCGATGCCGCCGGTTCGATGCCAGGGTTCCAGGGCCCGCTTCGATGCCGCCGCTTCGATGCCGCCGGTTCGATGCTGCCGGTTCGATGCGCCTAGAAAGCCCAGGGTTCCAGGGCCCGCTTCGGTGCCGCTGGTGCGATGCCGTTCGACTGCGGCGTTTCGTTGAGCCGATCCCTGCGCTTTGATTACGGGGCGTGAAAACGACCACGGCCACTGCTTTTCTTTTGCTGCCGCCTTCCAGCCCGCAGAAACAAGGCAGTGGCTGTGGTCATATTCGTTGAGCTTGGCACCAGGGAAATGACCACAACCACTGCTTCTTTTTCGGCCGGCTGGAAGGCGGCGCAAACAAGAAGCAGTGGCTGTGGTCAGTTTCCCGTCCCGCATAGAAAGCCCAGGGTTCCAGGGCCCGCTTCGGTTCCGCCGGTTCGATGCCATTCGACTGCAGTGGCTCCCGATGCCACTTCAGATGCGACTCTGGATGCCGATCTGGGCTCCGGTTTCTCCACGGAGGCCTATTGGCCTGCCGATTTCCGCCGATTCGACTTTTTTCGATTCGGCTGCCGATTCCCGTCGATCCGATTCATTTCGATCGCCGATCCGACTTACCGATTCGATTCTGGGCTCTCATGGGGTTCGCTGGGGACTAGCTTCCCCAACAACGAAAACTCTCCCAAACCCTCCCGAAGCCTTCTGAAAAGCCTCTTGGAGCCCTTTCTTGGGGGGTATCGCAGGGTTTCGGGAGGGTACCTGGCTGTTTTGAAAGGAAACCAGTCCTTAGCGAACCCTGGATTTTCTAACCCTAGTTCTCGAGGGAGAAAAACTGTACAAACATACACAGGTGGCGCTGTGCGCGGATCCAAGAAATCCGCACATAACGCCACAAGTTTATGTTTATGTCGTTGTTTTTCCTCTTCTGTCCCCATCCCTTTCCTCGGCAGTGCTCGAATGTGTGCCTTTTTTTCCAGCGAGGACCATCGAAGAGCATCCTGGATCCTCGTGCCCCCCCCCCGAAGAAAAAAACATACGCGAAACCCACACGTGCACGGGGAATGGAAGTCCGAGCGATGGCCAGCTTCCCGACCCCCACCACTCCATTGTTCGACCTCTAGGGGATTCCAGGAGGAGGAGGAGGAGGAGGAGGAGGAGGAGGATCCACCATTCCATCACGCATTCCAGAAACGAACAAGTCACGACAGCAGGCTTTTTGCAATTGTCGGCCTCTGGGGCCCCCCACCGGGCCCCAGGAGCGTCAAAGAACGGCTCAGGATGAAAGGCCGGTCCCTGGATGGGTCGAGGTTTCCTGGGGTCGACGCTGCGAAAAAAAGCACGGCGTCGGGGGTTTGGGATTCCACCATCCCAGCGGGGGATCTGCCTGTCGAAACCCTGAGGGGGCAGCCTATGTCCCCACAGGAACCCAGGCCACCCCAGCGGGAAGCAGGGATCGGTCAAGCGAGGCTTGGAGGCTCGGGTCCCGCTGCATCTTGCTCGACTTCACGTACTTTTTCGTGTGGTCCAGGTTCTCAGAGGAGGGCGAGCCCTGAGATCTTGGCGTCTTGATTTGTTCGAGCCGGGCGTTTTCGCCCGGTCTCGGGCCCTGGAACCCGCACAGATCAATCCGGCTCGAAGATGGCGCAGGAAGATGGGGTCCAGGACTTTGGTCCTGATATTCCGCGATGTGATATGTTTGTCGCTACGTCGGATTCCGAGTAGAGACAGCGGTAACTTCCTCGTGTGGTCCAGGATCTCAGAGGGCGAGGTGAGACAGCCTTGCTCACACCGACGAAGCTTCGAGGTTCAATGTTTCTGAGGTTCGCTAGCATGTTCGTCGGTTCTCGGCAGCCTTCTGGCCTAGGGACGCCTTCCAGCAACTGCGAATATTCGATAGAGTTCTGGAGGTGCCTGGATCGTCCCGAACGGCCGCCGGAGGCCCGAGTTATGATTGGAAAACCACACGAAAGAGGATCGACAGAGGAGGGCGAGTTGAGACAACAAGGGCCTTCGGAGGACCCCCTCGTCGCCACGGCTGGACGCAGCTCGGAAAAATTGTGCGTTTGGACCCTGGGAGGGCTCCCGAGGCTGATTTTGAGTTGCCGTTGTCTCAACTCGCCCTGCTCAGAGGTTCCTCGCCTTCGTGTGCCTGCTCACCGCCACAATCCTGCTCGGCGAGGAGGGCTTCTACTCCATTTTCAACCTGCCGTCCTCGTCCAGCTGCCACTTGGCGCGCGGGGTGGGCCTGTGCGACGCGGAGGGCGTGCACAGGGCGCCGAGCAGCGGCGTGGTGCTGACGCTGAACCCGGTGGAGAGCTTGCAGCTCCACGTCGAGAAGCCCGGCATCTGGGCCCTGCGGCTGGTGGTGGCCGCCTCAGCGGCCAACTCGCGCTACCTGCGCTGCTGGCCGCGGCTGGACCGCTGCTTCTGCGCGCTGGTGCTGGCGTGCTGCCTGCTGCACTTCCTGGGCAGCGCCGCGGACCTGCGGCACTGCGACGCGACGCGGAGTCCTCCTGGCCGGTGCGGGCTCCGACTCCTGCTCCTCCTCCTCCTCCTCCTCCTCCTCCTCCTCCTCCTCCTCCTCCTCCTCCTCCTCGGTCGCCAGCCTCCTGGCCCCGCGGTGGGCCGCGGGCTCGCCAGACTGGCCGGGGCCCAGCGAGGAGGCCGACCAGGTGCTGCGCTACTGCGTGGTGAGCCGCGCGCGGCGCTTCCGGCCGAGCCCGGGCGGGGGCGCGGAGGAGGACGCGGCGCCGCTCGAGGAGTGGGAGCAGCAGCGGCGCGAGGACGAGAGGATGACGGAGTCCGTGCGCGACATGTGGGCCGCGTGGGTCGACCGCACCGCCTTCGTGGTCAGCTTCGCTAACCGCTCGCTGCTCGTGGAGTACTGCCAGTCGCTGCTGCAGGTCCCGGAGCTGCACACGTGCCTCGCGTGGCTCAACAGTTCGTCCCACGGCAACTCCATCCGGTGCCCGCGCGCAGACGACGGCGCCATCCTCCTCGACCAGGAGCGGCTGCAGATGCTCTCGGCCGCGCTGGCGGCATCCGCCAGCGGCGGGGGGGGCGGGCGCCTGGGCCGGCTGGCGATGCTGGACTCGGTGTTGCTGGAGGCCCAGCTGGACGGCCTCGTGCTGCGCGGCTGCGAAGCCTGGGTCAACGGCAGCACCTTCGCCCTGCGCGCCCGCTGGCCCTTCAGCGGCATGGCCCGCCCAGAGGTCGTCGGAGAGCACCTGCTGGCGATCCGAAGAAGAAACAAACACATAAACATAAACTTTTGGCGCTCCGCGCGGATTTCGTGGATCCGCGCCTGGGCCCCCCGGCGGCGCCTCTGGCGCCGCCCCTGAGTCTGGCGCGCTCCGCGCGCCAGGGAGGGGGATTCGGCGCGGATCCAAGAAATCTGCGCGGAGCGTCACAAGCTTATGTTTTTGTGCTTTTGTTCTTCCTCTGGCGATGGCGGCCGGCGGCGTCGGGTGCGGCGGGCAGGCCGTCGGAGGAGGAGGAGGAGGAGGAGGAGGAGGAGGAGGAGGAGCAGGAGGTGGAGGAGGAGGAGGAGAGGAGTGAGAGGGAGGAGGAGCAGGAGGAGGAGGAGGAGGAGGAGGAGGAGGAGGAGGAGGGAGGAGGCGGAGGAGGAGGAGGAGAGGAGGAGGAGGAGGAGGAGGAGGAGAGGAGGAGGGAGGGAGGAGGGAGGGAGGGGGGAGGAGGGAGGGAGGGAGGGAGAGGAGGGAGGGAGGAGGAGGAGGAGGAGCGGAGGAGGGAGGAGCAGAAGGAGGAGGAGGAGGAGGAAAGGAGGAGGAGAGCAGGAGGAGAGGAGGAGGAGGAGGAGGAGGAGGAGGAGGAGGGCAGGAGGAGGACCAGGAGGAGGAGGAGGAGCAGGAGGAGGAGGAGGAGCAAGAGGAGGAGGAGGAGGAGGAGGAGGAGGAGGAGCAGGAGGAGGAGGAGCAGGAGGAGGAGCAGGAGGAGGAGCAGGAGTAGGAGGAGCAGGAGCAGGAGGAGGAGGAGGAGGAGGAGCAGGAGGATGAGGAGCGGGAGGAGGAGGAGGAGGAGGAGGAGGAGGAGGAGGAGCAGGAGGAGGAGGAGGAGCAGGAGGAGCAGGCCGTCGCTCCCGGCGCGGAGGGCGCCGCGGCGGCTGGCGGCGCGGCCCGCCTGGGCGTGGCGCAGCGGGCGCAGGTCGGAGCGGTGCGAGCTGAGACCACGCGGGCTCCGGCTCGGTCTCCGTAGTGGGGCCTGTCCCTCCACAGGAGGAGAATTCAAACATAGTAATTACATATCTGTGTATATATATATGTATATATACATATGTATATATACATATATATATGTGTGTGTTTATACACATTATATAGTCGACGTATGTAAATATGCAACAAGAGTGCGTATACATACATGTATATATACATACATATATATAACTATATATATATATTACATCTGTTACATTTAGGAGGCGTGCAATATTTTAAACAATCTATTTCTAACGCATACTATAAACATGCACAGCAAAACTCAAACCATGTACATACATATAATGCGGTGGCGAGTGTTGTTTAGTTGTTTTAATATGTTTGACTGTTTTGGGGGGTATGTTTGATTTGTCGTCCAAGATCCGCCTGTGGGGGGACAGGCCCGACCTAACTCCAGACCCCTCCCGGGGCCCAATGGAAGGAGAGAAATCAGCGGGCGAAGAATCAGGGAAACGTACGATTCGAGTAAGCCAGAACTCGGGTTAGCCGACGTCTTCTGACGAGCGCGTCTGGGATTTGGACGGTCGAGTTTTCGTGGGATGTCTGAAGCGGGAGCGTGCGTCAAATTTCAGGTTGGGTCTCGTCATATTTCATGATGGCCCCGTCAGGCCAAACCGAGTCCCCCATACCCGAGGCTTACGCCTCCCCGACAGAACGGTGTAACACAATTTTTTCCGCCGTCGGGGACGCCTGCCCCTAGGCGGCTGGAAAGTTTATATACTATAAGTATGCGCGTCGCCCCCCGAGGGGCGACGCGCGCACCAAGAACTGTTCCAGTGTATGCGTCGTGGCGGGCGCTGTCTGGCCACACTGCTCGGGAAACGATGTACTACAAGATGGGTATACTATATGTTCGGGTCCGGCACGCGCCTCCAAGGAGGACATAAGGACAGATAGTATTAGCATGTCTCTGTGCGTCCCAGTATAGAATAAACTTGTCCACCGTCGGGGGCAGGCGTCAACGACGGCGGAAACAGTCTGTTGTATACCGCTCTTCGCCCATTGACAAAAGACGGCGCAAACATCAAGTTTCGATTGTGCGCGCGGATCTCCTGGATCGGCGCCGGGCCCCCCCTGGCGGCGCCTCCGGCGCCGATCGAAGACGTCCGCGAGGGCCGTCGAACGCTCGTGGTTGTTCAGGTGTGAAAGAAGGACGTACACGTACATGAATCCACGATGGTTTCGAGGGCACGCGCTGCGCAAATGTTCGTATAACGCGCCCGGTCTCGCGGATCGAAGGGCCGTGTTCATGTACATAGTTGGGCGAGTACGTCCTTTTGTGGGCTCCCTGAAGTTGTGGCGTCCTCCTCTCTCCTTACCCGAGCGCGCCAGTCCTCCGAGCTGCGCCCAGCCGTGGCGACGAGGGGCCCCTTTTCCGAAGGCCGACGACCACAGTGGTCTTGGCATCGCTTGGACGTGTGCATTTGTTCTCGGCGAGAAACCACGAGGACCATCCTGGACCATCGAGCACAAAAAGCACGCACGAAACCGAACAGTGCACGGGAAGCTCACGTCCAAGCGACGGCAAGGGGTAGCACCTCGCCCTCCTCCGAGCAGTCGAGCAGGAGATCGGCTACAGGATGGATTCACCCCGGAGTCGTCGGATCGTTCGTCGAACCCGCGAGCAGTGCGCAGAGCTGTCGAAGATCCACGATCCTCCTGCGATGTCTGTTTTGTAGCTTCGGCGAACCTCGCAATCTTTGGGGGCGGGTCTTTCGAAGATCCGCGATCCTCCCGCGAATGTTTGGTGGCCTCGGCGCACTTCGCAATGTTTGTAGGGGGCCACTTGCGAACCCTACCCCTACCCCCCACGATTTCTGAGGGGGAGGGGGTGGGGTTCACTGAATTCAGGAGCTCCCGAGTGAAGTGAACCCCACCCTCCCCCTCAGACATCGTGGGGGGCAGGGGCACACGTGGTTAATTTCTCATTATTCGAGAGTTCTTTGATTTCTGGGGGGCCAGGATCCTCTCATGTTTAATTGTTCTGTCCTGGGCCTCTTCCTGGCCACTGGGGGGCCAGGAACAATCAGAAACGAGCACACTCAGAAATGAGCGCGGTTAGAAATGAACGACGTGTAGGATTCGCGAGTGGCCCCCTATTTTGGGGGTGTGCCCCCCCACCTCCCCCCCACCCACCCCGGGACCCCCCCCCTGGGGAAGGGATCAAAGGGAAGGGGCTTCCCTTCGAATCTACAACGGCATGGACAACGATGACGATCCGAACAACGAAAACACACGATGTCAATCCGAACAACGAAGACGATTCGGACGAGGAAGCCCCTCGCACACGCCGACAGGGTCGGCGGATTTTGGGGGTGGGTCGACCCTGTGGGCGACCTCCTGCTCGCAGCAGGGGGACCTCGAGGGGCGCTGCCTGCGGAACGCGGACTTCTGGCGCGGCGCGCCGCCCGCGCCGCGGAGCGGGGCGCTGCGCTACCTGCGCGCGGGCTTCTTCGCGTGCGTGGCGGCCACCTTCCAGGACTGCGCGGAGCGCGCCCTCTCGGCGCGGCTCACGAGGCTGGGCGGCGAGCGAGGGGGGGGGGAGGGGGAGGAGGAGGAGGAGGAGGAGGAGGAGGAGGAGGAGGAGAGGAGGAGAGGAGGAGGAGGAGGAGGAGGAGGAGGAGAGGAGGAGGAGGCGGAGGAGGCGGAGGAGGAGGAGGAGGAGGGGGAGGGGGAGGGGGAGGGCGAGAGGGAGGAGGCCTGCTCGGAGGGCGGCGGGGCTGCTCAGAGGACCTCGCGCCTGCCGAGAAGTGCTTTGTCTGTCTTCGGGGGAGGCTCGGAAGACTTCTCAGAAGGCCGGGGGGCTTCCGAGCCTCCTGAGCAGGCCCTCGCCTTCTCACTTCCCCCCCCGCGCTCGCGGCCGAGAGGTTCCGCAGCCTCTGCCAGACGGCGTGCTCGCTGGCGCTACTCCTGGCCTACGCGCACATTTCGAGTAGGGATCGACCTCGGAACGGACGTACCCTGGACGTGATGCTTCCGTCGAGTCCACGAATGAAGACGCATAGAATGCTCAATCGACCTATACGGGGCATTCGACGTATTTTCCACATATTCGACCGGAAAGTCCAAGTCTGGGGTAAATCAACCCAGACATGCGACGTCCTGATTTTTTCTGGACGGCGTCCCCGGAAGTCTAGACCCTTTCCCCAGGGCCGGTTGTTCATCCTGAGTCGTTTTCTGGCGCTCCCGGGAACCGGCGAGGGCCCACTGCAGGGGCCGAAAATATAGAAAAATGTGGCATCCCTATTTTTGTTACGGCGCGATCCTGTCTGGGAATCCTGCAGTCGATCCCCTGCTCGGCACATGCTGTCCAGCCGCTGCCGGTCGGTCGCCGCCCCCGGCGCGGCAGCGGCGGGCCGCGGCGGCGGCAGCCCGGCGCGCGGGGCCGTGCTGGCCGGCTGGAGGGTGCTGTTCGGCTCCCGGGTGTTCGTGGGCCCTCGGGGGCAACGATGGGCGGGGGATAGGCAGAGCGTGAAATACCTACCCCGCTTCCGCTTCCAGGCAGAACCGAGTCATACCACGCGCCTCCTCGCCAAGCGGCCTGACCAGTACAGGCTGCAATTTGGCATCGTTTGGTATCTCTTGGAAGCGAGGGTGGTCAAGAGCGAGGTAGGTTCGTTTTCCCCCTAGATAGGCATGGGGGGGATGCATCGACCCCAGTCGCCCATTGATCGCCGATACGGGGCCCATCCTGGCTGCCAGCACGGCTGCAAGAGGCCCAGCTGCCATGGCCCACAGGACACGTCGGGCAGGCGAGGTGCTGCGTAGCCGTTGGGCCCCTGGCGTTCGGCGGCCCGCTGGTCGAACGTGAGCTGCGGCGCCGTGAGGATCCCCACGACGCTTGCGCAACTTGCCCATGCCAGCCGTGGCCTCTGGTCATGTACACATCGTTTATTTCTAATTGGTCGAGGGTTCTTTGATTTTTGTTGGGGTGCCAGGATCCTCTCATTTCTAATTATTCTGTCCTGGGCCTCTTCCTGGCCACTAGGGGGCCAGGAACTAGTAGAAACGAGCACAATTAGAAGTGAGCACGATTAGAAATGAACGACGTGTAGGGGGGGATGCATCGACCCCAATCGCCCATTGATCACCGATAGCAGCCCGATGGCCCCAACCTGCCCAGGCAGGTGCGGATTCACCATCCGAGGCCCATCGCCGAGCCATCGGCGACGCATCGCCGATTCCAGGTCGATGTTTCCCACCCTATGCCAGTCCCCCCGTGTCGTTGCCCCTCAGGCCTGCTGGCCGCCTTCGTGCTGCAGCTGGGCTGCACGGTGATCTGCACGGGGTGCAACTCCTGCGGTCGCAGATCATGGGAGCCTGGTGTGCCCTCTGATTTCCGTTTCTAGCGTCGACTAGCGCCTGGGAGTCGATGAGATAGCGCCGATTCAGCGTCGGCTAGCGTCAACTAGCGTCGATTTAGCGTCGATGTTGTGTCTCGGCGTCGACCAGCGTCGACTAGCGTCGATTGGCAAGAGCCGACAAGATGGGTATGGGGTATGGGAGGCTCCCATGAGTTGCCACCGATAACTCCTAGGAGGTGAGATGCAGCATCGGCGCTGGCAGATCCGTGGTCGAAAGTCGGTTCAACACAGCATATTCCCGTTCAATCCCGTGCAATCCTTCTTCCGTAATCCCGTGTTTAATCCGACCTGATCTTGTTCAAGGGCCTCTCAGTCGGGTTTCATGCCCCTTCCCTGCGATCCGACGTTGCGAACACATGCAACATCGCGAGAAATCTCCACTGGAGCCCTAGACCCCATCTCCCTGCGCCTTTTTTTTTCGAGACAGGTCGATCTGTGAGGGTCCCGGGGCCCGAAATCAGGCGAAAACGCCCGGTGTGACAAAAATTGCAACGCCCTGATCTGAGGGTTCATCGTTCGGACAAAGGCCTCGCAGGAGTTGCCCCTTTACTGGCCCCCCTAAGTCACCTCGGGCATGTGCAACCCACAGAGAAGCCGGGTCAGGCAGTACAAAAACCCACCCTGGAATCCACCGATGACCCCCCCTGTCCCCTCAGCAACCCCCGCACCGATCCCAGTGGGGCCCCAGGCCAGAACGCTGGTCTCTCCAGTGGCCGTTCTGGACGATCCTGCCCCCCCGCGGAACGCCCTCGGCCAGGCGCAGCTGCCGGAGAGCATCCCTAGGCTATCAAGCCGCGGAGATCCGACGAAAATCCCCCGAGAGCCTCGAACCTCGATCCTCGAAGCTGGAAAAGCGCCGAGGTCCGACGAGCATTTCCCACAACCTGGACGGTTCGAAGAACCAGAAATTTCGTAAGCCTAAAGTGTTGGCGCTCCGCGCGGATTTTCTTGGATCTGCGCTGGGGCCCGCCTGGCAGCGCCTCAGGCGCCGCCCCTGGCCCGCTCTGCGCGCCAGGGAGGGGGGTCCTGCGCCGATCCAAGACATCCTCGAGGACCTCCGAAAGTGAGTATGCATTGATTTGTTGTTTTGTTCTGCGGGACCTGTGGTCTGCCTGCTGTAAGACGACTACCAGCGAGCCGACGAGAAACAGCGTGATCACAACCAGCACGCAGGAGCCTGAGGGGGAACGATTCGGGGGAATATTCGGGGGGTCCAGCTCCGATCCCCAAAAAAACGCGCGGAGCGCCATAAGTTTAGATCTACAGGCGGCCCGGATTAGTAGGTCGACCCTGCCAGATCAAGGGTACCCTCATGTCCTGTGTCTTGTGACCCATGCCTCCTGCATTTCTGTGGCAACGTGGCCCTCGGAAGGGTCTTGTGTCCTCTCGCGTGTCCTCTCCATATGCCGTTGGTGTTGTTCCTCTTGAAGATGATCCTGGGCCGCCTGGCCTTCCAGGTTGTCGGAAATGCTCGTCGGGGCCTCGGCGATCCCCCAGCTCCGAGGCTCGAGGCTCGAGGCTCGAGGGAGTCTTCGGCTTGATCGCCTGGGGATGCTCGCCAGGCAGTTGTTGTGTTTGTTTGTCTTTTTTTGTGAAGGTGTTTTGGCCGTGTCTTGTGTTTTTGCGTTTTTTGTGTTTTCTGTGTTTTTGCATTTGTTGTGTTCCTTGGCCGTTTTGTGCGTTTCCCTCGGAAGGTGCTCCTGGGCCGCCTGGCCTCCGCCTGGACGGCCCAGGGCAGCGCGCGAGAGCTGGCGCGGTCACTCGGGCTGCTGCCAGAGTCGCTGCCTGAGCAGCTCCTCGCCGCGTTCATCTGGTTGCAGTGCTCCGTGGTGCTCGCCGCCGTGGTGCTCGAGGGAGAAAGGGAACATCTCCGCCAGCCAGGCTTCAAGTCGGGCGCGTCCCTCTACAGGAGGAAGATGTTCGAGAACAGTCCAAAGTTAGTCTGGTGACGATGTTTCGTGCTCTTCGGACTAGGCTTGATGAGTCTCCGAATAGGCTTGCCCTATAGGAGCTCTAACTCAAACGCTACTAACTGGTCCGTTGCCCCCCCCCCCTTATTCCTATGCCCCCCTAATTCCTATTGCTATGTCTATGCCTATGCTTATGCCCCCCTAACTCCTACGCCAACGCCCGATTGGAGTCCTAGCTCATCATAAGTAAGTATCCAAATCGGCTTGCCCTATATGAGTCCTAGCTCATCATAAACAGTTATTGGTCTTTAGCCCCCCCCTCTTTTTTTCCAATGGCACCCCCCTTATTTCCAATGGCAGCCCCCCCTCCCCCCTCTTTTTCCAATACCCCCCCCCCTATTTCTAATGCTTGCTTGCTTGCTTCCGTGCGTGCTTGCTTGCTTGCGCGCTTGCTTGCTTGCGAGCTTGATTACTTGCTTACTTGCTTGCGCGCTTGCTTGCTTGCTTGCTTGCTTGCACGCTTGCTTGCTTGCTTGCTTGCTGAGTTGCGGATTCCAAGCATGCTCGAGTCCGTTGATTCCTTGATTTGAGTCGTCTACTCTATTTGGAGTCAACGCTGGCTGATATTTGTTGACTATGGCTTTATCCTTCTTCCAACATCCGCCTGTAGGAGGACATGCCCGACCTAAATCTAGGCTTCCCAGATGGCTTGGCATCGCTCGGGAACGTGTGTTTTTTTTCTCGGCGAGGGCCATCGAGGAGCATTTGGGGTCACCTTGCGAAAAAATGCGCACACGAGCCCGAAGCATGGACGGGGAACGGACGTCGGAGCGATGGCGAGATGGGCAACGAAAAAAAAACGGGTCCAGCTGCGCCGACATTGGCGCGTGGGCTGCCCGCGTAAACATCGCGCGTGAACGCCCTCGACTCCAACGTGGCGTGCTGCGCCGGCGGCCCGCGTAAACCACCGCGTAAGGTCGGTATGCCATCTCGCGTACGACCCGTTCCTTCTCGTCGCCTAGATGGGGTCCGAGTAGATGGGGTCGGAGGATCGCGCCGCATCGCCGATGCATGAGCGATGCGGCTCGATATGGAGCCCGAGTTTTTGTCACGCCGACGCCACCGACGCGGCGCGATCCTCCGATCCCACCTAGTGGGACCAGATTGAGGAGACCTCTACATAAGCGTGAACCCAGGTTCGAGCTACGAGGATCGAGACTCGAGGTTCGAGGCTCTTGGGAGCTTTCGTCGGACATCGGTGGCCTTTCGAGCATCTGATCAAGAAGTCTCCTCCCGAAGAGCTCGGCCGGCGTTTGTTGGCCGGCCTGGTAAAGTTGGCTAGTTTCTGAAGCACGCTCGTCCCTCCAGCGTGAACGAAAAAGTTGGCCCTGATTTGTTTGAAGAAACCTCCAGAAAGTTGGGCCAGGTGTCTGAAATGATGAGTTCTTGACCATACTTTCGGCTGTAGCCTCGGGACGGCTTCCAGCGGCGTTTCAAGGGCGGTCGGGGGGGGCCAGAGTCGCCCCGAACAGCCGCGATCTGAGCCATCATGGTCTAGCAGCCCAGAACTCCGGCGATACGCTGTGTCTGTTTCCGTGTGGGCATTCTTCCTCGACGTCGGCTTGAGAAACAAAAAAAAAAAACATATCGTTAAGTCGGGCGTGTCCCCCTACAGAGGGATTTCCGACGAAAAATAAAAAATACCCCAAAACATGCTCCAAAATGGCATAAATATTAAACAAACACATTCGTTAAGTCGGGCATTCATTCCCGCGATCGGGCCCAGCGGCCTCAGAAATGGGCCTGGGCCAGGGGAGGGGGTCGGGACTTCGGGGCCGCGGATCGGACAAAAAAGCACCAGCGGAGGTCTGGGAACCCCTCGCGGGCTTCTCGGAGACTTAGGAACTGGGCACACCCGGAGCGCCGCCGCCACGTGCGGAGCGCGCCCGGGAGGGAGATGCAGCGCTGGTCCTAGAAGTCCGCGTGGACGTCCGAAGGTGTGCCAGGAAGCCAGAGACGCGTACACTCAGGAGGGAAAAAAAGACACAGACACAAGTAATCGTCGATTCCCCAGAAAACATGGGAAGTTGGGGGGGGGAGACAAAAACCCAGAAAATATGGGGGCACGCCCGACCCGAGCCCAGGTCTGCAACGTGGCCCTGCACGTGCGCCTCCGGCGGCAGCTGCTGGCGCTGCCCCGCGAGGTCTTCTTCGGGCAGCGGCCCCCGCCGGCCAGCTACGGGGGGCCCGACCTGGAGGACCTGAGCCACGCGCGGAGGAGGAGGAGGAGGAGGAGGAGGAGGAGGAGGAGGAGGAGGAGGAGGAGGGGAGGAGGAGGAGGAGGAGGAGGAGGAGGAGGGGGAGAAGGAGGAGGAGGAGGAGGAGGAGGGGGGAGAAGGAGGAGGAGGAGGAGGAGGAGGAGGAGGAGGGGGAGGAGGGGGGAGGGCTTCGTAGAAGCACCCCTGCTTCTCAGGAGGCGCGGGCCTTATCTACAGATGCAATGCCAGTGCCTTCTAAGAAGCAGCCTCCTTCTAAGCAGCCCTCCCCCCTCCCCCCACCCCCTCATGCGCGCCGCCGAGGACCTGAGAAGCATGGGGCGGTCCACGCTGGTCTACGGGATGTACTTTCCTGGCATCCTGTTCTGGAACTTTTTCTACGGCTCTCAGGGGCAAGGATGGAGGGCGGGGGGGCGGGGACTGGCCCGAGGGGGGGGGGCATCGACCCCCCAATCGCCCATGCATCGCCGACCGAGGCCCGGGGACTCCACTCCGCCCAGCAGCGTGCGCTTCTGGGCTATCGAGGAGCCCGCCGCCGATCTGTCGGCGAGGCATCGCCGACGACTGCAAGGCGCTGTTTCTCGCCCCTGGGCCAGGCACTCTCCCCGCCCTCAGCCGTTGCCCCCTCGTCGCTCGATCCTCGGAGCTGGAAGATCGCCGAGGTCCGACGAGCAGTTCCGACAACCCGGGAAGGCCAGGCGGCCCAGGATCACCTTCAGAGAAAACCCCCACCTTCAGAGAACCCCCCCAAAAAACGGCGTAGACCTAAACTTTTGGCGCTCCGCGTTCTTTTGGGGATCGGAGCTGGACCCCCCGAATCGTTCCCCCTCAGGCTCCTGCGTGCTAGTTGTGATCACGCTGTTCCTCGTGGGCTCGTTGGTAGTCGTCCTGCAGCCGGCAGACCACAGGTCTCAAAGAGCAAAACAACGAATCTACAGCATACATTTGCGGAGGTCCGCGCGGATGTCTTGGATCGGCGCTGGACCCCCTCGGCTGAAGCGCGGAGCGCGCCAAGGACGGCGCCGCAGGCGCTACCAGGGGGGGGCCAGCGCCGAGCCAAGAAATCCGCGCGGACCTTCGAATATTTATTGTGTTTCCTATTTATTTATTTTTTGTTTTTTTATGTTTACGAAGCCGGTTTCGAACAGATGACCCTGACATCCACAGATGTTATTTGTTGAATCCGCAGCCAGAGGGCGACAGAGTAGTTGCTTGTCCTGAGCTCAATGTTGATGGCCCCGGTGCCTCATGATGATCGTTGTTTATTCCTTGTTTTGCCGATCGGCGCGGGCCCTCGCCCCCTCCTCCCTCCCTCCCTCCCTCCCTCCCTCCCCGTGGAGTAGATCTTGGATGTTTTTGGCGCCTGTTTCGAGCGGGTGGAGTCTCCCACGGAGGCAACACTCCTGCAAACAGTCGCACTAAGCAGAGGTCTGGAGCCAGGCCCCCCCTCCCCCCCCTTTCCGCCCAATGCCAAAACTCCGAATAAAAAACGCTCACATGCTGGGCCCTGGAGGCCGAAGTCGCGGAAAAAGATCGCCCGGTTTGCGCAGAAGCATCTCTCCTCGGATCGGGACGACCGACGTAGGTACCGAAAGAGTGGGTACAATGCCCAACAGCCGTTCCTGCTCATTTTGAACAGGACTCGCTGCCCGCGCCACCGCGGCCCGTGTCTATTTGAGACAGAAGGCCGCCTGCCCAACAGCGGCCGCTGCTGGTTTGGGACAACACTTGCTGTTGGGCACTGTGCCCATCTTTTCCGTACCCATTTCGGGCGTCCAAATCGGAGAGCGAGGCCTCCCACCGCGGCCGGAGCACGTGGCGGCCGGGGCTCCGCCCCCGCCAGCTTTTTTTTTGTTGCGACTGGCGAGCAGCCCTGGATGCTACCCTCTACCGAGCAGCCCTGCCACGCTCGGCTCCCTCCCCCGCTGCGGCCGTCGGGGCTGCCTTGTCACGAAGGTGTGTCTCCTGCCCTCGAGAGGTCCCCCTCCTCCTCCTCCTCCCCCTCCTCCTCCTCCTCCTCCTCCTCCTCCTCCTCCTTCTCCTTCCTCCTCCTCCTCTGATGCCTCTGATGCCTTACCACAGTGGGTCTCATGAAACCCTACTGCGACCTGCGCCTTCGCAGGAACACACCCAAGGTATTAAGAATTGAATAACCTCAGGGGGGGAAGGGCGACCGAGCTTCAACGCATTAAAACTGGCGCCGAATTAACGGGAAGGGCAAGCCCCAGTATTTGTCCGACTGGGGCTCCCTTCCCGCTCTTAATTTATCCAAGGCCTTGCGACTCAGACGGTTCGGTGGCCTGCACGGGTCTTTCAGCAGCTTTGTCTGACGCCTCGCGTACGCCCCGCACCGATTACAGAACACAAGAGCATCGATGCACCCATCGGCCTGGGGAGAGCGGACGGCCCAGAGCCGATGGGAAAAATGTGCCAGGGACGCGGGCCTCGGGACTCCCGCACAAGGAAAACTCAAAACCCTAGCCCTGGACGCCTTCCGAATTCCACACTTGAGACATCCCCAAACACGACCGAGCCGTTCCAGGGAGTGCCCATTGTGAGGCCTCTCGAGCTCCAGCTGGGGACCCTGGGAGGGCTCCGGGCGTCCAGGGAGGGCCCCTCTGTCGGGCCAATCCAAATCTGCCAGCTTCTTCAACACCACACCGTGGTGCAGCATAAGCTCGGCCGCCGCTTCGTGGGCAGCCGCAAACCTGGCCTCACAGGCTTGAAGCTCTCCTTGGGGCCCTTGGGGGTGTAGTCGTGCGCCCAGCTTCGCAATGCGGTCGGCCTCCTTATTGCCTATATGATGGCACCAGGAAGCCCCGTGCACCTCCGCCAGCCGCCACGACACATGAGCCTTCACCCACTTCATCTCGAAGTTGTCCAGACCCATGTCGTTCACATGGTGCCAGAACTCGCGCCACAGGTGGGCGTACTTCGACTCCGCCGAAACGCAGTACTGCTCACCCCGCCTGAAGTCGTCGACCACGACCTTACCGTCACTGACAATAAGTAGAGAGCCAACGCCCTTCTCACGGAGGACGCGCACCACAGCGTAAAGCTCGGCATGCCCAATTTCTTGACAATCACCAGGAACCGAACCATACATGCCGCCCTGGAGCCTGCCGTCATGAGTGACCGATACAGCCGACCAGCCACATCTCGTTAACCTTGGGCAGCGCGGGCACGTTGCAGACCCGTCCACGCAAACGATGCCCTCCCACGGCTCTCGCAGCCCCACTCCCGCTGTCAGGCAAGTCTCTTCCCGGGCAGGAGGTGGGGCCTCGTACAGCTTGAGGTCGATCAGGCCTCTGGTCATGCTCACGTCGTCCACGTCGGCGAGCCTCCCCGCCTCGCGAACTCGTTCCAAGCCCCAGGAAGCCGCCAGCTGGCATGTGCCATCGCAGCAGAAGAGCCTGTGGTGCTGCGTGCCGACGGCGGCCTGGCACCACTGGCAAAGGGGGGTCTACCTGGGATCGCTCCTGGTAGAGATCGTGCTGCGTCACGATGCCGCCCGCGACCAGCGACTCCACAAACGAGACCATCTCCTTGTCTCCGCGCCTCCTCAGCGAGCTGAGGCCGGCACGAAGTGGTTCCAAGTCGGGCGCGTGACCAGCTAGGCTCTCGAAGCCTGGGTGCTTAGCCACCTTCATCACGGAGGCCACGAACTTTGGACTGACGTCCGTGAGCACCAGCACCTGGCCCTCGTCCGTGGTCCAGCGGTCCCAGCCCGAGAAGCTCCAGCCCAACCTCTCCAGCGTCTTGAACACGGCGCCAGTCGGGCCATTAGCGCCGGCCCAAGTGGAGGGGCCGCCCTTGCCGTGCACCGCCTTGAAAGCCGCTGGAGGGCGCAAACGCGTGTAGCACGCCTTGGCCCAGGCCACCAGAGGCAAGGCGTTGCTCGCGTAGGTGGGGTCCCGTCTCCACCCTCCGTCCTCCTGGATGGCGAACTGTACCGTCCTGGATCGCTTGCCCGCCTCGCCTGCCAGCGCCCTGGCATTAGTCGTCCGAGCCTGCTGCAAGGCCCTGTCCGGAACTCCGCGCACGCGAGCTCCATGAAGCACGGAAGCCAGGCCTCCCGCACGAAAGGCCTTGCCGAGCCTGGCGCCTGCCTTCTTCAAGGCCATGAAGCGCGAGGCGCGGGAGCCGAGCTTCTGCAGTCGAGCTCGCAGGACGCCCCAGCTGCCAACTCTGCCCATGCCGAAGTCGACCCCGAGGTTCCGGACCGAGTGGTGCAGCTGGAAGCCCCATCTATTGAGTTTCCTGGTGGCGCGCTGACCCGCGCCGAGGTTGCTGGAGATCACGTTCCCTTTGGTAAGGGAGATCTTGAAGCCGATCCTCTCCAGCTCGCCGCACAACGAGTCTGTGCCCCTGGTGATGGCCGGCTCGATGTCCCGAAGCCGCCCATGAGCAGCCAACGTCACGTCGTCGACCACCACGTACAGCTTGACCGACCCCCAGCACCTCAGCAGGGCATCGAGCGGGCTCAGCAAGACCACGCGCAGCAGCGTGGTCGCGAAGCCGCAGCCGGCAACGATGGAGAGCCCCACCTTCATCGCCTCGGTCTTCCATCGCCCAACACACAGCCTGCGCTTGCCACCGTAAACCGACAGCAGCAACTTGAGCCGTCGAAGAGGAAACCCGTGACGACGGCAAGCATCAACCAGACCACGGTGCGTGACCCTCTCATAGGCCTTGCTCAAGTCCAGCATTGAGGAGAGACTGTTAAGACCTAGGGCGCTGGCGTGCTCCGCGTCGAACATCTGCGCCCAGACAGCATCTTCGCAAGACCGTCCAGCTCCACCATAGAAGAAGCTTCTGTTGTGATGTCTCTCCCAATCCTCAGCCTCATCATGCCGGAGGCGGCTGAGGAGCCGAACAAGACCGCACAGCAGGCCTATGGGGCGCCAGCCCCCGTCGGGCTTCGCCAGGAAGAAGATGAAGACCTCTTCGACCTGCGTCGGCATCCTCACCAGGAACTCCACCCAATGGAGCATGATGCAGAGCGCCTCCAGGCCGCCGCTGCTGAGGTGCCCGAAGGACGAGGGGTTCATGCTATCAATCCCCGTGGCGGTCATCTCCTTGAACTTCCCGGCGGCCTTGATGACGTCGCCGGGCGTCGGAGGGGGAGGGCAATCTTCCAGGAGGTCAGGTGGGAGGACCTCGTCGAGGTCCAGCGGCTGCTCGATCCCATGGCGCCAGATGCCATTGTACTCCTCAGCCAGAGCAGTCAGGGTGGCCCCGATGCCTGCTGGCCCTCCCTCGATCGACTCCACGTCTGGCGACCACCCGCGCGGCGCGCGGCAAAAGCCATGTGCCGCACCCCCGCTGTCTTTGACCGCGTCCTGGGCCCAGCTGCGCCATGCCCGAGCTTGCTCCTGGGCGAAACGAGCCTCAAACTTGGCCGCATTTCGTCGACACCTGGCCTCGATCCCGACAACTTCGGAATACATAGCCGTGCCGAGTCGTTGCAGGCGCCAGCGCATGACCCGCACCTCGTCGGGCCCCAGCTCCTCCTCGCCGAGGTCGTGTGCGACGAGCCTGCCGATTCGCCCCTGGAGCTCGGCGATGCGCTGACAAAGCCCCGGCCTACGTCCAGCGTGTCGAAGCCGCCGTCGAGCCTCGAGGACCTCCCATACCGTGGTCCCAATTCTGCGCCACCTCGCTGACAACGGGCACCCCTTGATGTAGGGCCCACCCGTGGCCGTCCGAACAAGCATCTTGCTGAACGAAGGCGGCTCGGCGCGCCCGAGGAAAGGCTCCTTCTTCTCCTCGATGTGGTACGCGCCCAGCAGGTCCAGCTCCATGAGCCTCATGAACTCGCCGTAGGCCGTGTCCAGACCTTGCTGCGCTGCGTCCGCCACGCAAGCTGTGGGAACCCCGGCCTCGCAAGCTGCGGGAACCTCCATGGCCACGCAAGCTGTGGGAACCTCTCCGGCCACGCGGGCTGCGGGGACTTCGGCCACGCGAGCTGTGGGAACCTCCACCGCGGCCGCGCACGCTGCTGGAACCTCCTCGGCCACGCAAGCTGTGGGAACCTCCCCTGCCCCGGTAGCTGCGGGGAACTCCTCGGCCTCGCTAGCTGCGGGAACCTCCTCAACCACGCGAGCAGCCGGAATCTCCTCGGCCTCGCAGGCCGCGGGAACCTCCTCAGAACCCTGGGCGGGGTCGGCCGCGGAGGCGCGGCTGACCTCGCTGGCGCGGGCGTCCAGGGCCTTAAAGGCCTCGACAGATCGCCGGAGGACCCCCAGCAGCGGCTCCCAGTCGGGCGGCTGGCGGCGGGGCCCCACTGTCCCAGGGAACTCGCGGGCCCCCTGCATGACCAGCTGCTCCTCGTCGAATGGCTTGTCTCCGAGGCCCAGTCGCACCGCGTAGTGCGGGGCCAAGACACAATTGACCCTGTGGCACTGCTTGACCCTGCTAGCGAGGCCCGTGCTCACGACGAAATAGTCGATCTCCGAACCCTCGCCAATCCTGCACGTGTTCTGGCCGCAGCTGACGAGCATGCCGCCAATCTTCTGCAGCCAGCCCCAATCCTCCAAGGCCGCTGGGTCGCAGTTCCAGTCGCCCCCCAGCACGAACGGCACCTGGACGCTCTGCAGGTACTCGCCCAGCTGGCCCAAGATCAGCTTGCTCTCGGCGTCCAGCCCCGAGCCAGTGACGAGATAGATCGAGACGCAGAGCACCCCTCCGGGCACCATCGCGTTGATCCACTGGGCGCAGACCCGCTCCCTCGGGAGCTTGACCTGGGAGGGCGGCGGGGGGCCCATGCCAATGTGGCCCCTGCATCCAACCCCCACTCCGCAGGAGGGGCCGCCCTTCTCTGTGCGCAACGACTCGTGCAGAGCGACCTTCCAGCCTTCTTTCCGGCAGGCCTGCTCCGCCGCGGTGGCTGGCCTGGGGCAATTCCGACCTCCTGCAAGAAGAGGATGTCGCCCTTCGCATCCGTGTTGAGCCACTTCATGAGGCTCCCACGGCTCGTGACGTTCGCCGTTGTCAGCGCCCACAGCCGTGGGCTGCGCTGAAAAGCTTGCGACGCCAGGCGCTGGCGCGCCCGCGGCAGCGCTGTCTGAGGCGGCTCCTGGGGCTGCTCTGCCGTCGCCACCTCGGAGCCGCTTGGGCAAAGGGATGCCCTGGGCTGTGAGGAGCTCGGCCAACTGCTTGCTCTTGGTCTCGTCAAGACTGGCGATGGCGGCGCTGAACTCTGAGCA